TTCGTATTTGAATGTTTCAGCCCTTTTTTCTTCCACAGTTCATGTTGGAGTCTGGTGTCCACGCTGAGATTTGTTTCTGAGCCGCGCCGCTATATGTTGTGGACAAAGACTAATAAACACTGGCAAAGTCTGGATGGTAAACCTGAACGTATCATGTGTCCACAGGGAATCTTCATGTTCGTGTCAAACCGCGATGAGTTTGGTCGTCTGGTGACGTCGACCAACTTCAACACATCCAGGTTGCACCCGGACATGTGGCAGATCTTCGACAACCCTGTGGTCAGACACACTCACGTGAACGCACTAACATGAGGACACGGTAAACTGAAGACAGCACAGGCTCAGTGTGTCTGTGTTTTCAGGACTGGAAGGAGAAGTACATCCATGAGAACTACTCCAGGATCTTTGACGATGAGAAGAGCTTCGTGGAGCAGGTAACACAACGCAGCCCAGTTCAATGACCAGTGTGACTGATTCACAGAGGAGTGAGTGAAGGCAGCAGGCGACTGTGTGAGACACATCTGTGTCCCTTTGTTTTCCTCCTTCACTTTGCTTTGGATTAGTTTTAGATCAATACCACCAAATGATCTGACCTCTGTGTCTCTCCCAGCCCTGTCCAGACGTTTACTGGTTTCCAGCTTTCTCAGATAAGATGTGTGATCACCTGGTGGAGACCATGGAGGACCATGGAGAGTGGTCTGCAGGTTCACACAAGGTAACCTTTGACCCCTGTGACTAGTTCTGTCTGAAGCAGACGGGGACAGTGAGCACTGAGGGTCCAGTCTTGTCTGTGTTTCAGGACGAGCGTCTGGCTGGCGGCTATGAAAACGTCCCCACTGTGGATATTCACATGAACCAGATTGGCTTCGAGAAGGAGTGGCTCAAATTCCTCAGGGAGTACGTCGTCCCCGTCACAGAGAAACTCTATCCTGGATATTACCCCAAGGTACCGTCCAGACACCACACCGAGGTATAGTCTGGGCTCTGCCCCGTGGTTGTACAGTTATCGTTTATTCAGTTAGCGTGAACTCCAGAGGCTGCCTCAGCGTGCAGTCCAGATACCAGGTCGTGTCCACACACTACTCCACATAAAGTCCAGGCACAGAGCAGACTTCTCCCCAGAGAACACAGTCTACTGTGAAGTACATGTAGCGGTTCACTACA